GTATCAGTCCATCCCTAATAATAATAATAACAGGTGTCAAGTGGAGTCAAGGTTTGAGATCCCAGATGCAGCCACTAACAGAGAACACTGGGCCGGCATAAGCAATATAAAGAACTCTATGATAAGAAATGCTGTAATCTTGTGATGGTTTAAATATGAAATGGTTCTTTTGACATTGCCATGAATTAAAAGTGATTTTATGTAACCACTGAATTACAGCTGCACAGTTAAAGATGAGAGAAGGGGTGAAAATGTCAAGAGATCAAGAAAGGTTAGTGTCCCTAAAACAGCTGTCTTCGTGTATGTGTATGTATAAGTCCATGGACTTCATCGCCGCCCAGACTCAACAGTGTCTCTGACGTCTGATGCAGGTGACGAGACACGGAAATTACCGTGGAGACGACCTCGAAGAGTTCTGGTCCAGAAACAAAGGTCACAGGAGAAGGAGTAGGGGAGGGGAGGGGCAGAGCATCTGCCTGCATAACATCCAGGAGAAGTGTAGAGGTATCAGTCTTCCAAGGCCAAGGTTGAAGCGGGAGAGCCGAATGAAGATAAAGAAAGATTGTTTGGGTGAGGCCGACACTGCAATTTACCGTCAGTCCTTAGAGTCCCACTGGTTCTCTCTGTGATCCAAAAAAGCCGAATTTGATGGCCCATTATATCCGGATCGGGCTGGTCAACTGCTCCAAGTTGGTGCCCATAGGAGGCCACTGTCTGCAGGAAGGTTGCAGAATGAACCCATTGCTAAAGCAGTTGATGGTTCCTCTTTTTACCAGCATGTATCCTGTGATTTCCAGACTGTGCTCTTTGCTATTACCAAATACGTGAATCAGATCCTAAAGGTATCACATATATGGGCTAAAGAGGAAGTGCCTCACACAATGTGTGTGTTGTAATCAAGTGTATGTGCTAAGGATAAAAATTGTGTGTAGCAGTAAACGTGTGGCGGGGGGAGAGTTGAATACACTATAAAAAGGCCTGACAAAGAGACTTCAGATGGAGTTCATGGGGAGTTCTTGGAGACTGCTCCTGGAGACTGCTTGCGATGGAGATCGCAGAGTTCTTCACGGGCCATCGTTGGAGCTGAACATTCCTCCACCGATTGAAGAAGTCCTGATGGGTCTGCAAATTCTACTGAAGAGGACCAGCAGAACCCCTTTCTGTGTTCTGCATGAAGAAGTATTCTCTTCCTTCCCCAAATGGATGCAAAAGAACTGCAGATCTGATCGGAGTCGGGACTTCTCATCTCCCCCTGAGACAGGAGGGTTTTGTCTGGGGATCAGGACTCTGTACTGGATTGCTGCATCACCGGAAGAGGACTCCTCCAGGCTCAGGTCTGAGCAGGGCTGAGTTCACCACCTATGGCCGGGCTGTTGGACTCTCCCTCTCCCCAAATTACTTATTAAGTTACTATTTTAGGAAAGCTCAGTTCTATAATTTTATCTCAAATCAATTGGTTTAATCATATTTTGGGAATTTTGAATCAATAATACTCAAGAGCTGTAGCTGTGCCCCTGCTAAAGTTTTGTAATAAATATCTGATCATGCATTTAAAGTTTGTTTGGTCTGAAATTTCATTAAGTCATTTACAGTAACTGATGGTAGTAAAAAGTTATGTCAATTGTGTGCATAAGATCTTTATAGTGGTTCTTAATGGTTATTCTAAGTCATGAGTAAACTAGTAGTTTTAAACAGATCCCTGAGGTTAGTTGTGCCAAACCTCTAAATCTAACCTAGCAACTTACCAAGTGCTCAATCCATTAAGAGGAAAGCTGCCACTAACAGGTGTGTCTAATGGAGTGATTTGACTACTGAGGCTACTTTGTTGAGTCAACTATTAGAGGAAGCAGGGTAGACGTCTGGATTAAGGCAGTTAGAAGCTAGGCGAGTTTCCTCGACACCAGCTTAAGCAGTTCTATAGAATCCTATCAAGGGCCTGTAGGCAGTTAGAGCTTAACCCTATAACGGAGAGCTGGACCAGTAGCCCTGTACAGGGTTATACCGGCGCGGATCAATACAGGCAATAATGCTCCACCATGGTAGATACACAATAGGGCCAAAGTATGTGGAACACCTGTGGTACTTTGGTTTGAATTAAGTTAACTCTTATTTGAAATGAATGAATGAATGAATGAAATGAAAAATACTTTATTTATCCCAGAAGGGAAATTCAATTTTCTACTATTTGTTATCCCATGTGGTATTTCAGACAATTGTTTGTGGAAAGCCCTTCCCACTTTCGACAGAACTGAGCCCCCTTATGTACAAAGCAAGAAAAATTGTCTAAACTTTGTTTGAAAGAAGTTGAATGGCCTGTACAGAGCTCTGACCTCAACCCATCAAACCAAACACTTTTGGAACAAACGGTTGAATAAATTACTGCAGTCAGCTTCCAAGAGAAGACAGGAATGTAGACTGTTAATGCATCATTTGGGCATTTGGAGATGAAATGCTCATCAATCACATAACTGGCAAAACGTATTAAGTGTAGACTTTTTTTGATGGGATCAAACTGTAATATTGAAAAAGATAACTCTGGATAGGATTGCATTAATCATAATTTCCAGAGGGTCTAGATTGTTAAATCGGAAAGATGCAAAGGGGTGTTCCCTAAATCTTAGAATCATTAAAAAAAAAAAAAACAAACAAACAAAGAAAAGAAAAAAAGATATTTGTCAAAATCATCGAAAGAAAGTAGAATAATGACATAGTTAACTGTGGTTGGGAATTTTAAGATCAGTACTGCAACTGGCTGACAACTGATGGCTACTTTCAGACCAGATCTTATGATTTTGTTACAGTAAAGTACGTCACACACCCACATAAGCAGTACAGACTGAAGCCACAATGTAAGTGGTTTTCTGCCTTAGCTCATAAACCAATGTGAATAAAAGTAATAGAGATTTCATGAGGCAACATCACTGCCAAAGCCATTTTTATTGCAATTTAAGGTGACTACATCCCACTGGATAGCCCTAATAATTAAAAATTTAAGAGCTACAAGACATGAGTTTGTGACAGTTTTTACAGCCCAATATAATATTAATTTTTTAAAATCTAAAATGGCACAAGAAGCTAGAGAGTGAAAAGATTTGTTAAGCAAAACAAGACACAAATCAGCAGGTACTGGTAATAAGTTAATATTGCTCCTAATACTCACCGTTTTAGTTAGGAAGACAGTTTACAACCATATAAAAAGCCATTTGAAAGCAAATTGAAAATCAGCAGACTTAACGTAACTACCAAAAAATAAAAATAAAAAAAAACTGAAAAATGCAACAAAACACCATCCACTGCTTTTAAAAAAAATCTTTACACTGACAAAATATAACCTGACTTGCATACCATACAAAGCACTGTGCTATACTGTGAACAGGACACCTACTGTATAAAATAGTTTTCTTACAATCAATCTGAAAAAGAGTGGTGTGTGACACATGAATACAAATTATCACGATATAATTACAACATTTACAAGTCAAGTCAAGAAAATATGTCAGACATAGACATAGAATGTATCTTCAAAAAATGGTGTAAATCTATAGCAACATCGTCTTGAAAAATGTCTTCAAAAGGCACAGACAGAAGAAAATGTGACCCATGCAAAAGAAAACATTTTTTTTGTGCAAGGAAGCAAAACTCAAGTTTAGATTAATTACATAATACCGCAGATTGTAATAGTTTCCCCTCAAAAAACAATGCCCTCCTTATTACAGTACTGAATACTGTACATATGTGTAACAACATGTTTAATCAATTAGAGATTGAAGTTTAAAGCGCCCTTTTCGCCACACAGAAAGTGAAATATTAAGTTGTACATTCATGATATTTACAGTATTAGAGAGTTTCAGAGAGCCATGGGGCTTTAACTACAATCTGCAACCTGCAGGTGTCATTGAGATTGCTAATCCAGTCTTTTTGTGCCAAAAAGTGAGTCTCCTGTGCATGCTCACATCCAGTATCTGAGTCGATTTCACTGACCATAGAAAGACGATTCAGTAAACCATGTTATAATGGCTGCCAGTCACTTCACCGTAAATCCACCACACATCCTGTACATTCATATCATTACATTTCTGTGCAACATCTTTTGGATCTATTGCTAGCAACAGTGAATTTTTTCAAGCTCTGCAGCCGTGAAAGTTACAGTTTGAAGACACTCCTTGGTTGTAGCTTCTGTGCCATATAGCGACATGCTACTACTCATTCGAACCAACTAAGGGCCACTTCTCAGTGAAAAAATATTCACTTATTGGACTGATTGACACTGAAAGTGCTGTTTCAAGGTTTCCTGGAAGACATGTTCTCACAAATGAACAAAAAAATTAATTTCACCTTCAATGTACCTTCATCGACTTTACAAAATGCCTCTTTTGCAAGCTTACATGGTCCATCCTGTAACATCCCAACTTTTTTAAGGAAAACACTTTTGCTGAATTCATTGCTTTCAATACCACCAACCACTTCTGCCTCTTTTCACAGTCTTCTTTCAACACGTGCTTGTCCCAGTATGCCTTCACATGCATTCAGAGAATGTGTGGCATGGTAGAGGAGGAAAAAAAAAGGCAATTTACAGGTCAGGCGAGAGTGGACTGATCTGCCTTCATGCCTGTCTCACACAGGCTTACAGTCTGCTTGCCAACTTTTAACCTGTATTAACCAAAAAAGGTGCCTCTACATCATACCAAACTGTCTATCTCTGAATTACACAGTATACAGTAGCACACATACATTGTTCCAGTTTTTATGCGCATGTACATCATGTCCAGTGTACTACATTGAGCAACTGCATCAGTCTTTCAAAACACGTTGGGCGCCGAATATTCCTGAGATGAAATCACCGGCTTGATCACGAGATGAAAATCATGACAGTAACTACAGTTCACAGCATAGATAGAGAGTAAAAACAGGACAGCTTGAGTTGAACTGTCACAGTAGTAAAACAATTAGTCAGCGAGAAAGCACTGGCAGAGAAAACTCCCCTAAGGCCAACACAATCCCTATTTGCTTTGTCCGCAAGAGAAGTTCTTCTGGCCATAAACAGCAGGGGGCAACGGATGTCTATTTTTACAAGCCTTGCTCAGGTTCGCTATGCTTCCCCCCCTCATGGGTTCCCAACTCAGGTTGCAGGTTCTGATCACACAACTGGAATGATCCTCACTCCCCCCGAGTTCAGGAACGATTCTCACTCCAGTTGAGTCACTGCTAGTTCTTGATCTCCAGAATGGAGGGGTTGTGGTCGAGGATGGACAGGATGATTTTGTCCATGTACTGTCGAAGACGTAAGTTGATTTCCTCCTGCTCCTTCAGGGCTTCCATCAACTGTGAGAAATAATTATGTCAAACACATTTTCAGTTGAGTTCATCACTGAGGTACACTGTTATTTGTCGGAAAATATTATTAAGAAATAGTTTTTTAGTGTCACTCTTGGACTTATTGCAAGAATATTCTATATGGCTATCTACAAATTCTCCTCATATTTGAACACCTGCAAGAATCAAATGCATAAAGTGATATTATTTCAGGTAAAATTTGATCTTTTATAAAGGAGAAAATCTTGATCAAAGAGAGGGTGGAGCCAGAATATGTTTATGCTTAAGAAATTACTTAAATGATTAAAAGTCGCTAATTATTGTTCCAGATCAGTTTTAAGCAGGGATAGTTGATCTCAATGATAGTGGTTATGTATGAGATATAGCCTTTATCATTACCTCCACATTATATAGAAAACATTCTGATGTACAATAATGTAACACGCAGAACACTGTTATTTCATGTTCTAGGAATACAGTTGTGTTGTATGTAACTACAGTATATATATATAAAAAAACAACAACAACAAGGAACTTATATAAAATCTATTCAGAAAGCTAGGTAGTTTGCAGAGCAGTTGAAAATCACAATACAGCCACTGAAGTGCTCATATCCTGTGTCACAAAGGAATAACAAAAGTAACTTTTAATGGCAGCAGATGATGGTATGTGCTCCATCATGGTACTTCTGGACCTCAGTGCTGCATTTGACACAGTCAATCACAGCCTTCTTTTAAACTGACTGAGGCACTGGGTGGGCATATCAGGTACAGTTTTAGAGTGTTTTTTTTTTTTTTTTAATCTTACCTTACTAATAGAAGGTTTTGTGTTGCAGCAAACAACCACATTTTGTCATTTTATTCAGTGAAGTACGGTTTGCCTCAGGGATCTGTTTTAGGTCCAATTTTATTTTCTTTGTACAAGCTTCCCCTGGGGCACGATACAAAGACACTGTGTTTTATTTCATTTTTATGTAGACGACACGCAGCTGTACCTGCCCGTTAAAGCCTCTGACCCTGCGAAGTTTAGTGCTTTAAATGACTGTATCATGGATGTGAGAAACTGGATGTCAGAGAACTTCCTTCAGCTAAACGACAGTAAAACCAAAATCTTGGTAACTGGGTCCCAGCAGATGGCAAAACAAATTCTGCCATCTGCTGGCCCGCTAGTGAAAAACATGAAACCTGCTGCAAGGAATCTCGGCATCTGGTTTGATTTTAACTTGAACTTTGAAAAACACACCACAAAACTTTTACAGTCATGTTTTTAATCATCTTACAAATATTTCAAAGATTCATTCTTATTTGACTTTTAAAGATACAGAGACGATTTTACATGCTTTTATTTCCTCACAGCTGGATTACTGCAACAGCCTTTTTACGTGTCTTGATAAGAAATCCCTGGACAGATTACAGACAGTGCAGAACTCTGCTGTCAGGCTTTTAACCAGGAAGAGGAAACGTGAGCACATCACACCTGTTTTAGCTCTTTTACACTGGCTGCCAGTTCGTTTTAGGAATGATTTTAAGATTTTATTAATCACTTTTAAAGCACTCAACGGTCTCTGTCCTATTTACACTGCCAACCCTTTAACACCATATTCTCCACCACGCTATTTAAGATCCTCGGGCAAAGGTCTTTTGACTGTCCCAGAGGTCTGGCTGAAAACATAGGGGGGCAAAGCATTTTCAGTCCGGTCGCCGAGGCTCTGGAATGACCTGCCTGAGGAAATCAGGTCGGCTAATTCCATACTCTCTTTTAAATCACTTCTTAAAACACATTTTTATTTGACAGCTTTTCCTGATTTTATTTAAGTTTTAAGTTTTATGTTTTTCACCTACCTGCTTTATTTGTGTGCTTTCTACTTTTGTCAGTTATTCTCTGTGATTATTGTATTTTAATTTTTTATTTATTTTTTTTGAAAAGCACTTTGTAACATTTGTTTTAAAAAGTGCTCTATAAATAAAGTTTATTGTTTTATTGTTATTGTTATTACAACTGTCCTGCACTGTCATAACACACAGTCTGCAAATTATCCTGAATTTACCTGGTCTCTGGAGGCATTATCTATCTCAGCAGCTAGACTCTGGGCCTTAGTCTGTGTGGCAAACAGGTTCTTGGCTTCATACAGGCTGAGACTGAGGATCTGACCATTTAACTCATCGTTCTGCTCCCTCAGCTTCTGGTTCTCCTGAAATGCACAATCAGGGTGGGAGGTAGTGGAAAGAGAGACAGAAAAATGGAGATAAGCATGTGGACCACACAAGTGCGTTGGGAGTGACAGTTCTTTTATTCGAAAATGGCAGCTACTGAAGCCTCACTCAACCCATATGACAAAACATTGCGCTTGGTACCTCATCCAGCAGCTAACACAGCAATGCACATCTATTTTGGCAACACCTACGAGACACAACATGGGTTATGTGTGTTACAGAACAAACTGTTCCCCTGCTTTGTCTGTTGCGTTATGAAGGCTCCACAATTAAGTTGCCTGTAACTGCTGACAAGAGGTCGGCTTGCTTTTCCCTTGTTCTATCCTTAACCGTCAGTAAGGGAATTGCAGCGCTGACCCCAACTCAGCTTAGAAAAATTCACTCTACTCCATTGTGATTAGTGGTTAATTGGGAGGTCAAAGGGCACAGAAGCAATTTTACCATCAGACCGGGACGGAGCCGAGCCCCAGACAACACCAGGTGCTGGATTTCAGGGGGAAGAAAGTCCTGGGACACGAATCGCTGGACACACATATACAGACATTTACAGAGGTGCATAGGCAAAGTATAAGAGATTGAGTTTATTCCGCGCATGGAGGACTGTGACACAGGGCTGTGTCTCTCAGTTAAGAGCTGTTACCTACACAAGGCTTAGTTATTAGTTTTTATTGTCATCATTTATCTGATTACGGACTATCAAACTAACTAATTATTTTACGTCTAAAAGTGTTGGGAGGAGTTGAAAAAAAAGTAACCATCTGCATATTGATGGTGGTATAAAACCATTGTTATCATTCCTGTTCCTGCCTGCCTGCACTTTGTGTGACAAGTGACAAGTGGCCCTGGGATACAGAAGGACTCGGCCCCTATCATCTTAAATCACTGATAAAACACACACATTGTGGGACTCAGCAGTTCTTCCAGAATGGATTTGTATGGTTCAAAGGTTACATCATGGCCTGGTGGTTTTGGCAAATTTTGGGTTTTCAAATGCCTTTCTTTTGACTAAGGAACTTGGAGAAATAATTTGCAAAAATACAGGCCAGGTTTCTAGACAACTCTCCAGAACTATTTGTTTTCTAAAAAACACTTTCATCTTCTCCCTTATTGCTAATGTTTACTTTGCATCAGGTCTGTCCACTTAGCAGGACTAATCTGTTACTGTAGCAGGCAGATACTTTGAAGAAACGTCCCCGTATCTAAGTTTACTGACACCAAACAACCAAGTGAACACATACATTCTAAAGCTGGAATCCTCATAAATTGTGATATAGTTGGAATAAGATCCCCAGACTCTCCACTTCAGTGTCTGAAAATCAGCAACTCTTGTTGAGGACAGATTTATGACAGGAGCCACTGTGGTTGACTGTCATCATTATCAAACACATAACCGTACTGGTAATGTATAGTATTCTATTCTGCCTAAATCCATTCTGTTGCAGTGTGGGCCCCAGGTCCATGTAGTGTCTGTGGCCATAAAAATGCCAGAGGCCTAGACTGATTCATAAAATCAGTGTACTCGATGTTCCTCAGGCAGAACATAAACCAATTTACTGCAGTAAATGCTGTGCAAGCATGTCCTCTCAGGAGCCTGACACCTGGTTAAAATATGAAAAGTGCATATGTAGTTTGAGACTGTGCTGCACTTTTTATGGAAAATGCACCCAAAACTGCATGGTTCTAATTTGCTACTTGTGCACAAAATATTTCTTTAGAGAAATAATATGGGGATCAGCTTAATTTACATTTTTAAAAGGAATACAACACTGCAATTTTCTGGATGGACGAGTCAGAGACATGCTACAGCATACAGTAAGTACTGAAAGTATGATCAGGGCTAAAAAAAAAATAAATTTTTTTTTAAATTAAATAATCAAATAATATGTAAAACCAAACAAAAATATTTGTAAAAAGCTACAGTTAAACAGAAAAACAAACTATTTTCTTCCATGTCTGAAATAAATCCAGCCAACATTCTTCTGCTGCTGCTTTAATCAAACAAAACATAATGAGTGTTATTCTGTTAAATATTCATACATTTTGGGCTGCATTCACTCTCTGACAGTGTAGTTATATGGCTCACTTCTCACTTTTATGTTTACATCTCATGCCTTTCTGTGCATCCAAACCCATACATAATAGGCATTGTCTTTTTGATGACATGCCTCTTATGAAGTTACAACTATATTTAGATGCTTCAATTAACACTTACATTTCTTAAGAATAGCAACCTTTCTTGCAGCTTTGAAAGACATGTTATCTTTAAAAAAATTGTCGGGAAGCTCACCCAGATCTTAAAATCTTGATATATTATCAAAATCACTTTAGTCTACATACCTCTTTTTTCTTTCTTTTTTTTTTTATTTTTTAAAAAGCCAAAAATAAAGGTGATCTGATCAAATTCTTCAAAAATAAATAAATAAAAATTGGCACTCCTCAATACAACTGGAAAGCCTTCATTGACTCATGAGTTTTCCACTGCTGGACATGGGTGTGCTGTCAGAGGTGAAGGACTTAATATTGCTGTAAAAAAAAAAAAAAAATCAGCCCACAGTGAGTGAAGATGCAACAGGAACAAAAAAACTCCCAGACATCAGTTGGGGCTTCAGAGGGTTAACGGAGACCAATGGATTTTAGAAAGGTGTGCAAAAGACAAAGTGTTGCTTCCCGTTCTCCAAGATATATGTGAAAACGATTACATTTGTCTCAGGGTCTTAAGGTACCTTAAGTAGCTACAATAATTACTGAGCTGAACATGCATGACAAAGAGATTTGAACATAGCGTTTCATCAGTACCTGCTTGAGCCTCTTGACCTCGTGCTCCAGCTCCACCTCCCTGGTCCTGTTGTTAAAGTCTGCAAGCCCAGAGGAAGAGCTGCGACTCCGGCCTGGCCTCTCTGCCTCCAGCTTGAAGAGTTGCAAGTGCTCCAGCTCTCGACGCAGGTCTTCTATCAGCTACACCAGAGAATGGACAGAAGAACATTGTTATATAATGCCAAGGCAGTGTTTTGTAGGTGTAAGTGTATCAGCTGACATGACTGCAGTGACTGAGAGGAAACTAAGCGAAAGTAAGCAACTGTCACAATCCACTTTGCTGTGTGTGTGTGACTGGTTACATAAAATGATCCCTCCCACCTCCTGCATGGCATCTTTCTCTTTTTGGAACTGCTGTCTGTTCTGTCTCAGTTTGTCCATCATTTTCCTGTAGAGGTCCATCTCATCCTTCAGGCGCAGACTGGTATCTTCCAGCTTGTCTGTCATCCTTTGCTTCTCCTGAGGTTGGATGAACATAGCTACAGTTTCAAGGCTGTTTTCTTATATTCATTTCTGTTCTGCATCTATTCAACAAAATTAGACAGAGGAATTGATATATAGGCTTAACGTTTCTATTTTCTGTGACACAATTTTATTTCGTAAGCTTGAGTCAGGTTTGGTGTCACTCACATAGGCACAGAATCAAAATAGAGATGTGGTTCATCAGTCAAAGGCTGTGTCTGCACACATGTTGAAGACTATCTGACTACTGAGAAAAATTGTAATATTTAAAGGGACAGCAAGACTGCGTTGACAAGTGTGGATTAGAAATGACAAAATCCTGGATGTTTGAAAGTGAAACAGACAGTAAACTGGAGGAGTTACTTAGTTCAGAGCATCAGCTGGATGTGTTAAAAACAAAGATAAGGACAAAAAAAGAAAAAGACTAACAAGATAAGCAAGAGTAAATACACAAAGATAGGGAAATATGGCTTACCTCATCCAGTTTCTCTGTCTGTGATTTGAGTCGGCACATGCTAAGAGACATGTCACCATTCTCCTCTTCCAGCTGCTTAACTCTAAAGATACAAAATCCAGTGTGTCAGTGTACGTTTGTTAGATAACTGTATCTCATAGCCAGTTAAGGCCCTGTTTTGGGCAAACAACTGCAGTATGTGCAGCAGCTCCAGAGGCAGCTGACTATCCCCGGTACAAATCTCTGAGCTGTGTTTACTACATAATTTTACATTCTGCAATTTCCTTCAACAAGCAGAAACATAAATATCTACATCCTAAAGAAATGGACATTGGCATTTTATTCTTTGATAAAGAAATCATGACCATGAGTATATCACATCATCACACTATACTGGAATGATTTAATGCTATTGAGTACAAACACAACATGAAAAACTGAGCAATTAAACCGAGACATTTTGGATGCTGTATGCTTGTGTCAGTATGCGTTTCTCACCGGTTGGTCAGCAGCTCTATCTGCGTGTTCTTGTCTCTCTCCATCTTGCTGTAGGCCTCTCTGTGTCGTCTCAACTCCCCCTGCATATTTTGCTCTGCACGGGTCTCTTGGTCTTTCAGCAGCTCCTCCAGCTCATGTACCCTGAGATGATAAATGCATCACACATAATACGGTATCACAACTGAGCTGAGTATTATTTTAGAATACTAACTTACAGCTACAATGTATAGTAACAGTCATTTGGGGAAAAAAACTGAGCACCTTTCAACAATGAGAAATTATTGAAAATCATCTGTATAAAATAGCATTTGCCCAGCTATTTATTTGTATCACAATCAATCCTGTGCATCTCTGAAGCCCAGTTTCCTACCTGTGTACTAGCTGAGTGTTCTCCTGCTTTAGCTTGGATTTGACGTCACCACTGATCAGAATCTCATTCTCGAGTTCTGCCACTTTCTTCTCAAGACAGCTCACCTGATAGAGAGACAGAGTAATAAAAGTTAGTTTACACCATAAAAGTAATGAAATTAACAATTGTATCTACAGATTAAAAATGATGGATGCTTTAAAATGCTGACCAGTATGAAAAATAAATCATCCCTTAATCTCAATCCCTCAACAAAACAAGAAATAGAATACAAGGTTAAACTGAAGTCAGAAAACAGTTTTACATATAATTTATAGAGTTGTCTATAGTTGACAACAGATTCTAAAGGTCTTTAAAGGCTTCCTAAAATTCAGATATTCCTTTAATTAGCAGATCTAAAAAGGGAGTCCTGGCAGAGCTCATATAAATTTGCATCCTTTACTCAAGCTGTGCGTCCACCAGGAACATTGCTTCACTCTCTGGAATTTCAGTGTTACAGTATGAGCACAAAACATGCATGTACAATCTTTCATAGGGTTTCACTCGTAACACAGAAAAAGCAAGAGCTGATATTACTACATCCCACGAGCGTCCGTTAGTGCTTAAAAAAGTCTGAGCTGACGTATGGACAAACAAACTGCACACACAGAAAAGGAAACAAACCTATTCATACCTTCTCATTGATGTCGATGTCACAAGAGTCGATGCTGTCTCGGAAAAGGTCCTCCGTACTGCCGTTGCTGCTGCTCAAGTTGCTGTTGTGGAGCAGCTGTCTGCTCAAATATATAGACACAAACTTAAAGAATTTGTTGGGAATAGATGCAGGTGAGGACTGCTTCTGCCTGTGCTCACATATACAGCATGTGAGTGTGAGAGAGGGAGTGAAATACAGTGTGCGTCCTTTGGTGATGCTGCTGTATATAGGACTATAAGGACGGTGCCAACCAAAGAAGCTGGAGCAAACAGAATTAAAATTAGCGCACACACTGTTACAGCAGACACCCACACAGGTGTGCATATATCTGGGTGTACTCAACTGTGACATTCACACCGTTAAGTGACTTCAGCTGCCCCCTTTTACAATGATGGAATAACTTGAGAACAGCAAGCTCCATTACTGAGATTAGCAATACAGAGAGGAGAGGATAGGATAGGATAGGATAGGATAGGATAGGATAGGATAGGAGAGGAGAGGAGAGGAGAGGAGAGGAGAGGATAGGATAGGATAGGATAGGATAGGATAGGATAGGATAGGAGAGGANAGGAGAGGAGAGGAGAGGAGAGGAGAGGAGAGGAGAGGAAATACAAGAACAGATAAAAAGAGCAATAAAGTGGACGAAGTAATCAAACCAGACAGAGGCAACAGTAGAAAAAACAGGGAAAGCGAGCCAAACCTTATATTGAATACATAGATCAGGTCTGACAGGCCATTTTCACTCTGTCACTATAACTCAGTTTCTGTGGCTCAAAATAGGACAAAAGGCTCGATACAAAACATCTCAACCAGTACAGAACAACAAGCCATGCAGTGTGATACATTGTTGCTGCTGCTAAAAAAGCTGACATTCAAACTCACTTTCTCAACTCAGGAACAAAAACAAAAGTTCTTACAGCATGACTGCTTACAGTTCAGGGTGTCCACATGCCCTGTATTTTCTCTGAATAACTAGTTAGTAATTAACCTGATGATAGAGCACAATGGCAGGGCAACTGAGAGATAAGGAAGCAGTAACTGCTAATCTTGCTCTGTATGTGTCTGTCTATCTCAACAAATAGAACAAACACATCCTGTTCAGGTCTGTGTAATGCATAAACACAAAGAGTACAAGTGACCTTTCCTTTAGACACACACAGGCACCTACAGTAAAACAAACACATACAGGTGAATGACCTACCTTCCAAAAGCAGTGCTGGAGATTTTCCTATTGGGGCTGCAAAGGAAAAACAACATTTTATCAGATTTTTTATTTATTTATTTATTTATTTTTTTAAAAAAAGTAAACTGCTATTGATATGTCTAGCCTCATGCTCAACAGTACAGTCCAAGTAGCTGCTGACAGCAATTAAGATTTTGACTATTCAGAGTGCCAGATAGGAAAGAGGGAGAGAAAAAGAAACTCTGAAGGACACGTCAAAGTTAATATAATTTTAGTCCTGGTTCAATGAACAGGGGTTTCTGTCAGCTAAATAACTGTTTATAAAGGGAACAAAAGCCCAAACAGTCTTTTAGTATGATGTGTCTGACTGCACTCGGTTTCACATTGGATTAACAAAAATGAGCAAACATACTGTAGGGTTACACAAATGATATTTGATGCTGATAGAATATGAATGTCAGAATCGTCTGCTGGCACAAAAGAAGAGTGGCTTGAGGGAAAGCTAAATTAATGCAGCTGATTGCAGAACATTCAGACAAAGTTGGAACATTTTTACAAACACAACCTATTCTGTGCCAAAATAAACTTAACCATTTTTGCATCCATGTGAAACAGCTTTGTGTATTTTTCTACCCATGTCTTGTCAATCCAAAATTGTTAGGTCCTAATGATTATAGGGTATCAATACGTTATGCCATGTACTGCTACAAAAATTTTAAGAACCATCCAGACTTTCTCAGTTACTAATTCAGCTTGTCTGTCACAGTAATTACTGTTTGTTTCATTACACAAATTGCAAAGATGAGTGAAACTGACGTATAATAGTCATTGCAGACAGTGACTGTGGAAAAAACAAGCAATAAAATACGTTTCAGTGACAGAGTGGCACAATATCAAAGACTCTTCTTCACAAAGAAATAACTGAGAATGTCAAAAAGGCTACTCCTCTAAGAAGATCCGCTCAGCATTTAGATTAAGCAAATTTTTACAGGGTTTGTAATCCTGAGTGACAGGATTCCCTTTCAGCTAATGTTGCAGTTAACCTCACACTCTCTTTGAAGGGTTCAAAGAGGCCAAAGCTTTGTGCAAAAACATTGCCAGCAGAATTTAGTTTTAATCTCTGAACTTCTGCCTTATCTTTTGTCTACTGAAAGTGAATACATTTTCATGCAAAAGCAAAAAAAAAAAAAAGAATTGTCACCTCCTGTTTTTACAAAATTTTTTAATAAGATCTGTGTATCTCTGTTGTGCTTAAAAAAATACACTCAGATATTCCTATGAGCTCACTTGAAAGTACTTTCTTCAATCAATATATTTTCATTTGCATCTCACTGACTCTGCTACTTTTCGCCTTTTGTCTCTCTAACTCTGTTCTTTAGCCATCTCTACTTCATTATTCATAAGGGGAAGGCAGGTCAAATTAGAAGGCTCATTTTAGAGCCATTTCTCCACGGGGAGAAATTCTGCAGAGTCCATGTAACTACACCACATTCACACAATTTAAAAACATTACCAAGGCTAATGTTATAAAATTTTGTGTCTTTATATGTGTGTGTGTGTGTGTGTGAGGGCATTTGTGTCTTAAGGTTGACTGTACGGCTATTAATGGTCACCACGGATTATGTTTCCAATTATAGTTTCCCCATTACAATGGCTGATGAGGTAAGCACAGGACAGACGGCCTTACGTAACAATCAATTCGTGTTTGTCTGTGTGCATGCGAATGGTGATGTGTTCGTTCATGTATGAAGCAGAAGGTGGACTACTTTAAACGCCCCTGTATCAATATATACTTGCTAAATTTTAGTAAAAAAAAAAAAGAGTCTGAAAAACAAATTGTGACTCCTGAGTCAACCTCACCAGTAGGATGTGAGTGGACCAAAACACTTCAAATCCTGTACAGTACACATAATAGCTGACGGAATCTGTTTTTTTCCCCACCTGAATACAGTGTGGTGGATGCTTCTTGTTGTGTATATTTAGGTCATTGTCCTTTCATATACCATGGTTGTGTGGAAAAAATTACCTGCCAGTATAATGAACTCTCCTTTTCCACAGAAATAGGTCACCCAACCTGTTTTCATTTATATGGAACTGGACATCATGTGGCTTTTCGGTGCATTTGAATGTGGAGTTATATAAATAAAAGAGGCTGCAGTCAGCGAATACGTGCTGGTGACTTGACTTTATTTGACTAGCTATCAGTCAGAACAGCATGTGGTCAGCAGGAAAGGTCTGAGGGCAGGAAGACTCTAAAACAGTCTTTGCTCAAAAAGTAACTCTCTATTGAAACAATATTAAATTGTATTCAATTATACAATCATGATAGTAATTACAAATTATACCAATATGTACGTTTATGTTTTTATATGTCTGTGACCGGGCTGCAAGGTGGCGCAGTTGGTAGCACTGTTGCCTCGCAGCAAGAAGGTTGCCGGTTCGCATTCCGGTGGGGGCATCGGGATCTTACTGCTTGGAGTTTGTATGTTCTCCCCGTGCAGCATGGGTTCTCTCCGGCTTCCTCCCACAAGTCCAAAAACATGTTGAGGTTAACTGGTGATTCTAAATTGTCCGTAGGTGTGAATGTGAGTGTGCTTGGTTGTCTGCCTCTAAGTGTGGCCCTGTGATAGACTGGCGACCTATCCAGGGTGTCCCCTGCCTTCGCCCTAAATTGGCTGGGATAGGCTCCAGCCCCCCCGCGACCCTAGTGAGGATTAAGCGGTGTATAGATAATGGATGGATGGGATGTCTATGACCTACCTGTTAGCCTTGAGATTTTTGAGGCGAGCCTCCAGGTCATTTAGCAAGTTGACCTTTTTGCTGCACTGAGAACAGTAGACATCCATCAGTTCACCAGTGTAATGGTGACGCACCTTACGAGGAGTCTGGCTTGCACTGAAAACACACAAAGAAACACATATTCTTATATCGCTAAAAACTAATCTGGCTATCTTCTAAATCATGCAACAACTAAACAGTAAACTAAGACTAAAAACATGTTTTTTACACTGGAAAAGTTCAACTAAGCAACAGCCTTTGTTTGGAATGAATATTTAAATGTACAAATAGAAGTTGTAGTTTCCACTTGGTATGTTGAAATGGCTGCTAAATCCAGACAGCAAAAACAATGGTATTCTTACCAGATCTGTTGCCAAAATAGAGGAAAACTATAATGCATTATTACTACTTTTAAGGTCTGACCTGAAGAAGACACACAAACTGAACTTGTAGTTTCCAAAAGTCTCATTATATTCTCCTCGTAAAAGTCAACAGAGTTTATTGCTCAGTTTTAAATCTCAAACATAATCCTAAAAACATTCATGTATTATTTTACATCTATTAGGTTTCAGGGCATTATTTACCTTTAACCCACTTTGTGCTGTAGTTGTTTAAACTTCTTTTGCATGCTGAGTCCTCAAGACTTCTTGTAAGTCTGGGCCTCATTTTGAATTTAAATCTCCATGCCAACTCCATTTGCTGAGTTTTATCTGCTTGGTATGCGTGAAAGGAGCATGGAGCTATATTGCCAGTCTATCAGCTGGAAGACTTAATCCCATGAAACACAGGCCTTGGATGAATATTAATGTGGCCTTAAGGGCAAGAACTCCTGAGCTACACTTCTACAGTCAAGACTTAAGAATAATATAAGTCAGGTAATGATCCTGGATCTTGGAGAGTAGAGACTCGAAACCATAAAATTTAATAGAGCTGAAGTTACAGAAAATGGTCGTTGTTTTACATTTTGCTTCCTCACGATTCAACCTTTGAGAAACAGCACAGAGGCCTTTACACACAGAAATATAGTTATCTCTCCTTTGTGGCACAATGGTTTCCAGTCTGTGGTCCACAGACTGGTGCTGGGCCCCAGAACATTTGCTATGGGGCTGGAAGGAAATGATACAAGTCAGCAAAAATAAATAAGTTTTTCCGGATCACTCCAAGTCACACTACGAAAAACAGGGTAGGGGAGAGTGAGGTAAGATGAGCAAGTGGGTAAGTTTACCCACCCCTTGTATCTAGGTAACCGTGCACATTTTTTGTCATGTGATCATAAATTCAGGAAGCATCCATCATTCCCATCTTGCTGTGATGCAGTGAAGCACATGGGAGAAAGGTTAAGTATTTTTCTACACGAAAAACTGTTTTTTGCTTGTCAAAGTAAATTTTCTGCATATCAGGTAAAATGACTGTCATGTCAAAGCAAACTTATCCAGGTCTAAAATGATATATTATACATGTTGGTGGTTTGCTAACATATAAAATCACATGAATCACTTCACTGAAGATTAGCCTGAATTTCTAAGCTAGCCAGTTTTTTCCAAAATGGTGGCTATGGGGCAAAGTGAGCCAAAGACTATGGGGTAAATTAAGCCATTGGTTCAACTTACCCCCCATAAGGCACTAAAATTCAGTTCAGTCTCTGACGTATAAAATGGTGTTTCAGTTGAGTATACTCAACTGGTTTGGTGCGTTTGTCATATGTTAACCATTGTAGAAAAGGTATCATGCCAAGAACCTACAAACAAGGTTTGTAAGCATGAGAGCTGAGCATGAGAGCTCCAGCGATGAAAGAAGTGAATCAGATGTCTCAGATATGGTAGTTGGGGACTTTGTCATTGTAAAATTTGCATCCAAATGTAGGAGCTTTCATTACATTGTCTTGGTTGACAGCCTTGCGGGCAACTAAGGGAGTGCCAGATTTCTCAGAAGAATCCGAGGGATCACTGGCAGTACGAAACCCACCTTTGCATTCAAGGAAAAGGATGAGGCATCTTTCCCACGAAGTGATGTGCTGAAGAAACTACCTCAGCCTCAAAAGGCTAGAGGAACTGCAAGGAGGGAGCAACAATTCATATTCCCAGAGGCGCACCATCAGGACAGGCAATTGCCTGGGACCCTGTTGGAAAAAGGGGCCCTCCCAAATGGCTATACTTTGATACATTCTGCAGTGACAACCATGAACCCCCATAAACCTATGCAGGCCCCTATACAATGCATTGAAGGTGGTGCCCCACAACCCCACCTAGTGGGGCCCCCCTTCACCTACCACTTATCAGTCCTGTCCGACTGCCTGATAAACAAAGTGAACTTTCAGCACAATGAAGCAACACTTGTCAGGTTTCCAGAAAAGGAAGAAGAGACGGGAGGAGTAGGAAAAATGTCAACAAGAAAGTGGTAGATGGATATGCTACTGATAAATGCACAAAAATGTATGGGGGGGCCTCCATGTACCTCTTTGCCTGGAGCCCCTCAGAACTTAGGATCACCTCTGACTATTCCCCTGCAACCTTGACAGTTGGAATATTGAATAGTTGTTTTGATTAAATGGCTAAACAGTTTTGAAACTAACTGGCGGTTTATTCTCACAAGTTCAAAACTGTCAAACCTGTTTGTTAGCACAATATGCTTAGGTGTACACTTTAAAACTCAGAAGGTCAGTTTACCCCCAGATGGCTCAACTTACCCACTTACTTGGTTCAACTTACCCCTAACCTGGGGCAAGTTGAGCCACAGGAGCACTTTTTTTGAGAAGTCATTATTTTGGGCAGCTTTGTCAGAGATGCATTCTGATAGTTTCATTTAATAGGAGACATCCTGAAATACAGGTATATGTTGTCATTCTATTTCTGTGTCATTTTTCCTAACCTCCAGGACAACATATGTAAAAATTGGCTCATCTTACCCTGCTCTTCCCTACTGACTTTAGCTTAAGCAGGTCATCAGTACACAAAATGATCAGATTGTCAACACCAACTTCATGTGTGCATATAATCTGAGAAAAGGTAAAACTATTCCGATTTTTAGAGAGCTTGACAAAGTTTGAGTGTTTCCTTGGAGCAAGAAGGGGAGAGCATGTGTTAATCACATTTAAATATCCAAACATTGGACTTTCACTGTTGTAATTCCCACCAAAAAAGCAGACAACCCTGCCACATTGATTTGTCTGCAGCAACACTGTCAATATAAAATAAAGATTGGGAGCAACTGCAGTAGCAGATCAATAACTAATAATGGGTTTAAAAGCAACATAGAGCTTCCCATAGGAAATTACTGACAGAGTTGATCAGCTAGGCAGATCTGAATGCATCCTGTTTCAGGATCAATTTAGTTTGGACACTACAAAAAAAAAGAAAGAAAAAGAAAAAACCTTGAAATAACTGGTAGAAAGTTTTAGGAGGCTTCACAGACTGAATATTTTAATTTCTAACTGATCTTATAGATGATACACTATCCAGTGTTGATGCTCTGTACTAATACCAAAATTGCACTTTTATTCTAGAGGTTATTAGTGGCTCACTGAGCATGCAAACATGGAGAACTATGTGTCACAATGTTTCATCCTTCCACTTCCTCTTACCTTGAGGGCACGGATGAGCCGAGGTCAGAGTAGCCGTTGGTACGAGTCTCGTCGTCCGGACAGGGGCTGCTGGGAGTGTAGTCTGGTTCCTCCCCTTCTCCGTAGTCCTCAAACTGCTCCTCGTTCAGAGAAGCCGAGGAACGTGTTGATAGATCAGAGGTCACTGATATACTAGTCTGACCACACCTGAGGAAAAACAAGCAGAGGCTGGTGTTATACTCTGTGGTTATTTTCATTTCTGGGAGTCAAACTCAAACAAAGGCCATTTTTGCGTAATGGAAGTAAGCACAGAAACACGTGTATATATCATACTTTTGGGTTGAGAACATAGATTTTCCCCAAAATATCACTTGTATATTGATACTGAAAAAGCAGTGGGAAGAGAAAAGATGCTACAGAGAACAGTTGGCAATGACAGCGAGCCTTTATTTGAAAATACGTTTTTATATTTCTAGTCTGAGAGAGAAATTTGGAGAATCTAATATAAAAGACAGTGAGGACCATCAAGCTGAATAGGAACCATACACAGAGCAAAGATTGTGAAACAGACAAGACATCTGAATGCAGATCCTACTGTATGTGGCAGGAGAACAAAGAACATCCCCTGTACGGCGACTCGAGTGAGAATTAGAGACAGCGAGTCAGAGAGATCTAACAATGCTTACTTCTCCCCAGGGAAAAAGAGATCCCCCAGTGCGTCTTCCTTGTCCCCAAGTCTGGTGAGCCCGTCTGAAGTGTCTGAACCCTGGGTGCTTTCCACAGCGCTGTCTCTGTCTGATTCCCTCTCCCTGCCCTCGTCTGCCACCTCCTCCTCAGGCTCTTCCACCTCTTCAGGGAACAGCTGGCTCTCGGGGACGAGGTCAGGACAGGCCCGTGTGCACATGATGACCGGACACACCTGATTGTCCTCACCACCCTGGAGAATGATCAGACAAAAGGTAGAGATAAACGGATAAACATAAACATGAACACAAACACTTCACAGCTTGAACAGGGCCGTTACACAGATCATACAAACCTTGTCAGTGAATACCTTGAACCCACGAATTACTCTTCGCAATGATACCATTATTTTATATATGTCCATCCACTGTCAACCTGCTTAATTTAAAAAGGCACAAGTACTAGTTCTTTAAGTCTTGCATTATAATCACCATTTTTAGAGGTTTTCTTTGAATCTAAAGTAATCCTGTGATTTTTTTTCTGTACAGCCATGGTTACAGAGCAAACAGGAACTGCCAGCAGTTATTAAAGCATTACTCTTTACAGTACATTTTGCTCAAATGTAAAGAAATACAGTGTGAATGTGGTTCGAATAGAGATTAGTCCGATTTAACGAATGTAGGCTGTGGGAATAAGACTGTCATTGGCTTCACTTGTCAGGCAGCTTTGTCCTCTCCTTCCGCTATCTCTGTTACCATTTTCAAAATTTACTTCACTACAGGAACCAAAAACCTCCAGGCAGCAACCTACCGCATTGAAAATTTCAAGTTTTTTCAAGGATTTGGATGGTGCGGTAAGGCAGCCCTGCTCATCTTCCCTCTGTTCATCTTCCAGTGTACAAATGTTCCACCAAAACAATTCTCCATCTTTCACTTAGCTCCACAGAAGACAATTAAGATTGGTTAAGAAATACAGACAAGCCAGAGCGTTGTTTCCCCTATAGTAGAATGATGGTGAGGTGCAGGCAGTCCACTATGTACTACAGAATGGGCTGACTAAGCGAGACTACATATAGATAAACTATTTAGTAGCCTTACTAAATATGTATCCCACTGACAATGACTCCCCTGCAGGCATAATGGAAAATAAAGCTAATAAGTTTATTCCCTATGTATCATATCCTGCCTTTAACGATATGGGGGAACAGTAATAAGGAAAATAACTTTCTCTATTACAATACAGGGAACGCTAAGATACTGAGTGACAATGCTCTAAGTCTGTAACTAAAAAAACTCTAAAACTAGTAATGCAGGCAAGTGTGTGAACATTCTACAGTGCTTTACCACTGCAGCATTTTTATTTTCAAAATATAAGCAAATACTTATATATATATAAGCAAATATATACATTTTGAAACAATGGAGGTACTTTGGAATTCATTACGCTAGCCTTTACTTGTTTTGAGTATTACTAAAGCTGCAAACCAGAAGGCAAATCAAATCAGCAAAGACTGTGGGTCATAATTGGGGTAAATTCTATTTATTTTATTTTACCATGGATTTCCCACTTAGTAAATTCCTTCACTGTGGGAATGGCCCTACGTTGACGCAAGGGGGGCTAAAGGCCTTTATGGGTGAAAGGGCGACAGGTCGGAGGTCATGGGTCCCACTCCATCTTGTTTCACTCTTCAAAAACCTCTAAATTCTGGTTTAACGCAACAGAAAACAAGGTCCCAGCATGACTGAACAGCTGAAGCACACAGGGACATGACAAAGAAGGGGTCAGGTGAAGAGAAAAACCCAAAAGGCAGCAGGAGAGTGATATGTTGGGTAATTGTGAGTAAAGTGGGAAGAAGGTAAGTGTGAAAGAGAAGAAGTGAGGAGAAGACACAAGAAACACAGCAAAGAAGAGGAGAAAAGGAATTAGTGATACAGTGAGTGTGAGATTCGACAAGTGAGTGAGTGCTGTGAAGACAACAGATGTAAGACAGGAACAGATGCAACAAAGTAGCAGCAGACAGCCAGTTTGGTATTCAACAACATCACAGATGGCTTTCTATCATTCTCTTCCTCTCTCTCCCTTTTAAATCACCAATGCAACTTGTTTCATGCAGGACTTGAGGAGGGACTACACCAAATGTTGCCAGAAAATATCTTGATTGCTTAATTTTCTGTGTGTGTGTGTCATGAGTTTGGTTGTATTTGGACAGTAGTGTACTGGGTAGTGTTGAGGGAATGTGAAATGTTGTTCTGAAGTGACTGATTTAAACAAGAAACCTGATGAAAAAAATACAATAAACTGGCCGTAATATCTTATTGGACCATACTGTCACATGGAAAAAGTAAGGTTATACATGCAGGTCCACCTATAAAAAGGTCATTTAAACTATCAATGAAAATTAGAACTTATACTGCTGCAAACCTATGTTGTGTTTTTTGTTCAACTACAAACACAATGTAATTGGTGTACATTTCTCTCCCATGCCAAGTCCAGCAGCAAACACACATCAAAATACATGCTTATGTAAGTCGAATAAAAAGTATTTATTCAACACATAAACTGAGGCCCTGCAGTTACAAAAAGCCAACATGGAGTCTGAAGTTGAGTCACAAAATGAAAAACAAGGGATAAAGGTCTCTTTAGCATTCCTTCCCTGCAGCAGAGAAAGAAAAACAGTATGTGGCAAGGAAATAGGCAGCCCCCCTCTATACTCTACCACAACAATTTGGAAAACTGAACAAGCTAACACAATGGGCGGCTTGACACCTGTTGCAAAGAGACAAGAGGAGGTTTTTCATATGTAGCACCAGCTCACATAATATAACTATAAACAAATACAGTTGTGACTCAATAATCCATCCATTATCTATACACTGCTTAATCCTCACGAGGGTTGCGGGGGGGCTGGAGCCTATCCCAGCCGACTTAGGGCGAAGGCAGGGGATACCCTGGACAGGTCGCCAGTCTATCGCAGGGCTACACTTAGAGACAAGCACACTCACACCTACGGACAATTTAGAATCACCAATTAACCTCAACATGTTTTTGGCCTGTGCGGGAGGAAGCTGGAGAACCCGGAGAGAACCCACGCTGCACGCGGAGAACATGCAAACTCCACGCAGAAAGATTCCGGTGCCCCCACCAGGATGCGAACCGGCAACCTTCTTGCTGCGAGGCAACAGTGCTACCAACTGCGCCACCCTGCAGCCCCTGACTCAATAATCCCACACTAAACGTAAAACCTTCTTTTATGTTGGATAGCAAGGCTGTTGGATTGTCAAGACAGAGGTCGAGATACAAGGAGGGCTTGATGCTTGAAGGGTAATTTGTTGTTAATATTCATTGTTTATAGTTGCTATAATAACTAGTGTATTGTTAGAACACTACGCACCGCTGCGTAGCTGACCTGTGCGCTTGTGCACGGGCCATCGGTTGACATCAAAGGTAAATACATTCAGACAGCAGGCTAAAGTGACCCAAATTCGATTTTATTTTTCTCCTATGCGATCTGTATCCGGTCCTTTCATGACAGCTGAAACAACACAGATCCAATAAGTGACAAATATCCGAATAATCGGTGCGGTCTGGGGGAGGGGGGTAGCACCTCCACTCCGGGGGTGCCCTCCGACAGGGTGGAAGTGGCCGGAACGCACAGGCAGTACTTGGTTGCTGATGCCAGTTTAGTTAGCGGTCACAGTTCTGTTTCCACCACGTGGTGGCGGCGGCGGCGGCAGCAGTGGAGGAGTGGCAGATATGCTCCACTGTTACCATCCGTGTTTGCTTCCGAAAACACTTAGCACACTCGCTGCGTGTGACGTTGTTGTGTCCTCTTCTGTGCATGGCGGACACGTATGGGTCATATGAAGTTCACACAGGAGATCACATACAAGTCGCATTCAATTGGAAATGTGAACGAACTCGCAAAAAAATCGGATTTCACAAAAAAGCACGAATTGAGCTTTAAGTCCTGCAGTCTGAACGTTGCCAATCTGTCAGATTGTTAAGTCAGACAATACGCCGTTATCCTTATTTGTGACACAAAATGTCACGTCGGAGTCAGAATCCAAGGCTGTCGGTATGTTAAGGCAATTTTTTATGGGTTCTGTTCGTTTTTCCTAAAAGCCTGTTGGATAGCAAGGTTTTCAGATTGTTAGGAGTTGGATTATCAAGTCACAACTGTAATGGTAAAACTAATCAAAATACAGAAAATGTGGCTTGGAAATGTGAGAAATCTGGTTCATGCAGAGAATTTTGCAATAATGCAATGTTAGAACGTTGCAACTGGTGCTTTATTGGAAAAACAACACATCTTTGAGCTGAAGAAGAGATAACAATCAGCAATATCAAATTAACTTAACCATAATACTTTCTTTTTTATTACCATGTTTTCCCTAATTCAATATGCTAACAAAAGACTACTGCACACTGATTTCACTCATTTCCAAGAATTTAAAGAGCTCTGTTTTGCTCTATTCCGGTGAATATGCATTAATGAAACAGAACAGAAGCACATACACCGTCATTTAGGCTGCTAATTAATGCTGTTTTTGACAACAGCTGTTGTCATTAACATCTGACACTGATGGACATTAACATCCTACAGTGTGTGCGTTTTTTCAACCAGAAGCACTTTGCACTCTATAAGTCACTCTGAGTTGCTCTAATAAAATAAGTGATGATTAAGGGAGGAGCTGTGTATGTGTTTACAGTATGCCTCTCTCTGTACCCGCCGGTTCCAGGGCAGCCTCAGGCTTTAACTGCCAAAACATGAGCCTACAGAGTGTTTTGAGTTGCTTGATTCCCTGAAGCACAAACACAGCTGCTCTGCCAAACAGCATCCAAACTTCCATTGGCTTCTGTGATGTGCTTTCCTTTTAACTGCAGCGGTGCCGCCTGAAGCCTGACATGCCTTCACAGCCCCTTTAGGCAGCAGATTTTATCACCATGAAATGCTTTGTTAGGCCAAATCAGCTGCTATCAAATCAAACCAATACTCAACTTAAAACAACATTTCCATCCTCTTGAATATTATATGTGTACGATGCCCTAGAGACAGAGTTTACACCAAATATGTGGCCTTAAAAAAAAAAAAAATTGGAAAATTGGAATAATGCTAATTTACCCAAATTGCCTTTTAAAGATGTAAAAAATATGAAGTGCATGAAGCTTTGTCATTATTTTGCATAGCATATATGTGGTTGTTCAAATATTTTTATATTTTAGTTTAAATCAAATGGGAAACATACTTCCTGA